TTCTGTGATTCTGTGATTGTTTATTAGGTGCTTGGCTTACCTGAGTCTTTGTTGACCATTGTCTATATGTTTTTGTGCTGTATTCCTTGCAAAATTAGGTGAAACTGGATCTCTTGATAAGGATTTATTGAAAGACTGGCTAATATGCATGTCTTTCAAGCAATTTCATGCTGCTTTTCGGCTATTCATCCAAACAGTGAAGGATTTGATACTGCACAGACATGGCAATATCCAAGATTTCTCATCCAAGTTCCTTTTTGAAAGAGAACTGGGTTCTTAGCTAAAAGTTTTTTAGCCAAATGTTTTAAGTTCACTAAAAATCTTGGATTTCAGAGCCATGCCCGCCCCCTCCCCCCAGAATTGTTTCCCCTGTTTAAAAAATGTGTTCACAAAATACCAAATATGTCACTATTTGAGTTTCCACTAAAAAAATAACAGTCTATTTATAGAGCTTCATAAGCTGTGCTGAGATTTGCAAACACACCTGGATGTAAACCAGAGAAATATTTAGATGGTGGTCAGTAGTTTGAGTCCAGGACAATCTTTGTAAATCAGAAGTGTGGCCATCTGTTTGAATTAGGATTTGCATGAAGGCAGCCAGTAGTTGCACTTCCTTGGAGCTAATCTAAATCGGAACAGATGAAAACTGAAAGAATGTTTTTTATTTTCTAAAAATTATTTCATTTGTTTATTTTTACATCTTCCTCAATTTTCACTCCTCCTGTGTGATTTTCTTCCAAATAGAATGCGTGTTGTCATTTGCCAAGACAAGTCCCTTGTGCTTTCTAGGTATTTGCTTCATTTTGGACTTATCAGCTCTATTTAGAAAAAAAGCCTGACTGCATTCTGCTTATCTGGACCGTGTTCCAGCCCAGCTCAAGAGAGCATCTTCCTTGAGTGAAATGAGGGGTTCCTCAGCAGTGGGGAACCTCCTGCTAGAAAAGCTGTATGAGAGTTACAAAGTGTTGCAGTGAAAGTTAAAGCCCTTGGGAAGTTCTAAAGGTTTCCAGCCTTGGACTGCAATGCAAACAGGGTAGACCTGAGCATGTTATTCTTCACTGAGTAGTAGAAGATGCTGCTTCCAGTGTGCAGATGGGATCCTGTGCAGGTGAGAAGAGTACTGTCTCTGGCTTCTGGTACCTTGAACACCTACAACATGAGTATTGTCAGTGCCTGACTTTGAAGACTACCCACAGTGTACAAAATTCTGAAGAAGGCAGAGGCTGGATCTAAACCATGGGATTCAGGAGTACTTCCCAAGGCTTCACCTGGGCTGCATCCACCTTGGGATGTGACACAGGTGTGTGTTGGCCTTCATGGGAAGGCACACTCCAGCCAAGTCCCTGTTGTGATGATGAGGACTGTGTGGAGGGTGCCAGGGCATACATCTGCTGTGCAGTACAGATGTAACAGAACAGTGCTTCGTGCCAGCTCTGGTTTCACACTGACAATTACAAACTGATGCTACTGGCAGCTTGATGTTACTAAATTCTGTCTGGATGTAGAGTGAGGAGTTATTCTGCTTGTGAGCGACCAGACGATCTCTCCACTGTGTGTCTGTGCTGGAAGAGGAGCTGGTAGTAGGCCAGCCTGCAAACTGTTCTCAAGTGACCGTGCTCATTGAAATTGAGCAAGCACCCATTGCAACCGTGCCTGATGCTCCCTTCTCTGGCTGGGAGAGCTCCTGAGGCCATGTTTGTCAGCAGGGTACGCCCCGTGCTCCACATGAGGCTTTTGCCCAAGGACATTTCCAAGTAACCTTTGTCTTTAGAGCCCATCCACCAGTTCTCTTGGTTGTCTCAGTTTAATGATGTCTACATCTGTCAGTCGTGAGGAGGTGAAGGCATTTCTTTCTGCCCATACTCCATGGCCAGTGGCATCACTCACTGTCTGTAAAGAGCTGCTCTGGCTCTGAGAACAACCTGAGCAGCTTGGTAATGATCATCCTGCTGAGCATGTGGCTGTGCTTGGAATACAATATGAGCCTCCTTCAGTAGCAATTAACATTTTGGATATTAAATACTTAAAGCTACTTGATGGTCAGACCACTCCATCAAGGTAGCAAGTAGCAGTAAATGGTTGGAGAGAGGAGCATTAGAAACACTTCTTATTCCTAATAAATAAGAGCTGACTAGGCATCACTAACAGAGTTCTCAGCCAACATGGAGCTGACATGAAGAATAGGTACCGAACGCTGCTGTGCTCCAGAAAGGTGCAGTAACTCATGTTGTAGCATCACCTCTCCTCTGATCCTGATGTTGGCAGGAAAATGTGAGTGTTGGTGCCAGCCCAACCCACCAGTCCTGCCTGCCTCTTCTCTTGACTGCAGTCTCTTTCTGTGGTCCTGCACAGAACTGTAATTAAGCGAACTGGTTATTCTGAAATAAGTTTGTTGAAAATAAAATGGTAACCTGTTGCCGGCTTAAGAGTATTTTGCAGAAGGGAAAAATCAGCATAAAAACACTCCTTTGTCAATTTTTTGTGTGTGGCTTATGGTTTTTTCCCTCTCCCTGTCTCTCCAGGCCTATTGGAAAAAGATGAATCAGCTTTTGCAAACCCTGAATCAGAAGCTTGCAAGCCTCAGCCATGGGCAGGAAGGGATTGTCAAGATCAGTTCTGCTGTCTCTGATAAGCTGGTTGCCTTTAAAAGTAAACCTCCATCAATTCAGAGAGAAATCCTGAGCGTCTGCAGTGACCCTTACACTCTGGCTCAGCAGCTGACACATGTGGAGCTGGTGAGTGGGAATGGTTCCCAACTTCTGCAGTCAGAGATATTATTTTAAGCCATCAGCCACTAAGTATTCCAGACACAACCAAAAAATGTCTGCACTGCTGCAGCACACCCCGAGCTGTATCAGCACTGCAGCAGGAGGCAGGGTTTGACAGGTTGAGAAGCTTGGGAAGTAAGCTATATTTCAGTGTGTTCCTGTGCATCTTGGGATGGGTCACTTCACCTTTTCAGCTTGCTTATTTGTGAAATGCGAGTTGCAGTCCCAGGAAGGTCAACAGGTTCTCACTTCTCTGAGGTGCTCTTAGCCCCACAACCTGAAGGTGCTATTGAAATGGCTGATTTTGGAAGACATTTTAGCGGTTCA